GTTACAACACTGCTTACACCAATGCTAAAGCCGGTACGTATTATCACCCAAAACCCAAATCAGAATCTCTTACAGAAAAAGAAATCCCAGGGTTCATGATATTGAACTACGAATTTCAATCAAATTTACATACCTGAATGTTCATTGAGTAAGCCTTATTTCGTTTTATTGCAAATTTTTGAAATTTAAGGCATGGAAGGCGTTGACAAAGAGAAAGTTCAGAGGATAGTGTATGAAATGAGTAAAGGGTCGCAGTACTTTAAAAACGAGGAACGCAAAGAGGCCTTCATTAGAGAAAAGATAGAAAACATGCGAGCTCGATGTGCGAAGCTCAAACCAGCAGATTTGGCTCACTATCGAACGGTAAATTTAGTACCCACCATTTTAATTTGTGCTACTTTTCTGGGGTTTATTTTTTAATTTAAAAAATTGTGAGCTTGATTGCAATTGTGTCTTCTTCTAGGTCGCTGATAAGATAATCTTAGAGCTTGAAGCCACGCGTGACCTTTCAAGGATTTGGGTACATGTGGATATGGATGCTTTCTATGCAGCTGTCGAGACTTTAAGCGACCCTTCGTTGAAAGGGAAGCCCATGGCCGTTGGTGGCATGTCTATGATCTCCACTGCTAATTATGAGGTGCAAATACTTTACATTACAATTGTTATTAACCTGGGTTGAAATGGAATTCCATACTTGAAAATTGTTTGTCCTGCCTGCATTTGTCTTATGAACGTATATGGGGAATGTGATCCCGCCACGTTGTAGGCACGGAGATTTGGGGTTCGTGCTGCGATGCCTGGTTTCATTGCTCGGAAATTATGTCCTGAGTTAATTTTTGTTCCCACGGATTTCAAGAAGTACACTTATTACAGTGATTTAACTAGAAAAGGTTAGGTGGTGTTTTCTAAGGGCATATTTTTACTGTATATTCTTTATGCTGGGTGCTAATCTTTAGTTGTGACTTATCATTTATGTTAGTGTTCGAGAAGTATGATCCTAACTTCGTGGCTGCTAGTTTAGATGAAGCATATCTTGATGTAACCGAGGTTTGCGAAGAACGGGGCACTACTGGCGAAGAAGTAAGTGTATATAATATTAGTTGGCGCAACATATGAATATCACATTTCTTATGCCTTTGTTTAGCATTGACATTGTCCTTTTTTTTTCACTTGTTATGTTAAACTTCTTGTTTTCTAACCTTTTCATTATTGAAGATTGCCAGAGAACTAAGAGCTGGTGTTCATGATGAGACTGGTGGTCTTACATGCAGTGCTGGAGTGGCACCAAACCGTCTACTTGCTAAGGTGTTCCTACAGATTCTGTGAATAAATATGTTACCTGGATATGAGTTTAAGTATTTTCAATACGGTATACTGCTTTGATTCATTTACTGATAAAATAAATGTGGATGCTATCTTATGCTGTCTACTTGACGATAAGATATCTAAATAAATAAAAATTCCTAGAATACATGCCAATGTATGTATGCATGCTTGAAAAAAAAAGGTGAACTTTCTTCTTGTTTTGGGAGTTATCTAATGGTAACTTAGGTTGGCAATTTAGCAGGGGCATATAATAATTAATTGCCTCAACCTATATTGTATTTAGCATTGACATTGCCCTTAAAACTTTTTATGTTTAGGATTAGATAATAACACTACAATTTGATTTGGATGGTTTTCTTGAGAACATCTCACATGTGTGTGTCTGTGTATACACATAAGGTTGACTTGCATCTTCTTATCTTATTCCTCAGGTTTGCTCAGATATAAATAAACCAAATGGACAGTTTATTTTACCAAATAACCGGATGGCGGTCATGACATTTATATCCTCACTTCCTGTCCGAAAGGTTTGTCCAACATTTATACAGTTGTTGCAGCATGAATAGTACCACTGGTGTCTTTGCTGGTGCAACTGTGATTTACAAAATAATATTCTTTTATGTGGTGATGAAGTCATTATTACGGTACATACTGATGAAGATAAAGAATGGTAAACTCTTATACAGATTGGGGGCATTGGTAAAGTCACTGAACATATCTTGAGGGATGCACTTGGAATTAGTACATGTGAGGAGATTCTGCAAAAGAGCAGCTATATTTGTGCACTATTTTCTCATTCTTCAGCAGGTTAGCACTCTTGTCATTCCCCTATGCTGTTTATTGCTTGCTTCATCATTATAAATAAACTCTTTTACAGGCAGATCATGTGATTAGATACACCACCTGCTTCCTTTAAATCCGCTTGTCCTATCATGTATTTCAGATTTTTTCCTTTCTGTGGGACTTGCAATTGGGGGAACAAATACTCCTCAAGTTAGATCAAGAAGAAGCATAAGTAATGAGAGAACATTTTCGGCTACAGGGGATGAGGCATTTCTTTTTTGTAAATTGGGTATGCAGTCCTATTTTATATTAATTAGGGTTTGTTTCCTTATATAATTGGAGGTTGTCCATAGACGTAATTAACAATTGAACACTTGATCAGTTGGAAGTATGAACCCCATATTTTGAAAATCAAAATAAATTGATTATATGAAAGTTTGTGCTTAAAGAATCCAAGGCCTACATTTGTAGCCTCCACAAAGAATGTGTCATCAGGTGATTTAATCCCAAGCTATCATCATTTCCCCAGAGTATATCGTCAAATCTGTGGTTTTGAAATTAGCATAAGTATTAAGTCTCGGGTTGAGTGTACCCAGCCTGAGTCCTGTAATATGTCTGGATGCATGTACCGAACTGTTACTTCTAAATGTAGATTTTCATTATGTGGGGACTTTGAAGCTTATATGGATAACATTTTATCTTAAATTTTACGTCAAATTAATTGAAAGTCCTGTTCATCTAGTGCCTCATGTATATTTTATGCTTGCAGCGGATATTGCAGAGATGCTATCTACTGACTTGCAAAAGGAGGGTCTTCGTGGGCGAACATTGACTCTTAAACTAAAGACTGCATCTTTTGAGGTACTTGAAAGCATTCCTCCGTAGCTATATGACTATCTTAGTTTTTGTGACTCTTTTTTTCGGTTTTAGATGCCATCAGTATTTCATTCTGTGAATTTTAAAATGCCTTACAATCTACAGGTTCGCACCAGAGCTGTGACTTCGCAAAAAAATATATGCTCAACTGAGGATATTATGAAGCATGCTTCAAAGTTGCTTAAGGCTGAACTTCCTGTTTCCTTAAGGCTGATAGGTTGAGTGTGTACATTATATACAAGCATTATACAAATATGAATAGCATATGTTATATCGTATACTTAGTTGATCTAATGAGGACCCAACTTAAGGACCTTAAGGACAGATAAGATGCATCTCATTCACTCTCATCCATGGCATCTCAGGTCTCAATGAAAACCATATCCAGTATAATGAGTGAGATGTAAATCTGATCCATAGTTTGACAACTCAATGTCAGACTGTCAACCAAGACCACACATTTAAACATGATTTTACATGATCAGTAGTTGTAATTCTCTCTAACAACATAACATGTCAAATTTTCTGGCAAGAGACCTTACCAAACATATAATAATATATATGTCGTATAAATGTCAGAAAGGGAATTTTAAATAAAAGCTCAATCTTGCTCCCCATATGTCTTAGAGTTAACAGAGCTTTATTTTCATCTATTATCAGGCCTACGGTTGTCTCACTTTGATGAAGAAAAGGTTGGTGCTCCTTCTGATCCCACACAAAAAACTCTCACCGACTATATGCTATCAGGAGATGCTTTAAGGAAAAATATGGGCGATCAAAGCTCCTTGGACTTGGATTCTACTGATCACTGCATGATGCATGGTGAAGAAACTTACTTATCTAAAGACGGACATCAAACATCTTCTTGTGATTATAGAGATCCTCTTGATGAAAATCATTTATCAAACTTAGATGACAGTAAGTCTACTTCGGGCAATTTTGAAGAAAAGGAAGAAATTTATGAATCGACGAGCAATGCAAATGCAGAAAAGGTATGTGTGGTGAAAGGCATGCTGATGGTTATTCTTCTTGACACTGAAAAAGTCATCACTCAGCTCCATAAATATTGAAAAAGCATTTGTAGTTTCTAGAAGTTGCATAACTCACTAGATTTTCATGCTATTTTTCATATGCCCAGATGAATGCCAATGACAGTCAGAATGAGGACAATGTACAGGATGTAGTGCCACCATTGTTGGGGCCAGGTTATTCTTTTCCTGCTCAGTTTGAGGGCAGTAGCCTAGACAGAGTGAGTAGTGTAACTAAAACCCTTGGGGATGTGGCAAGTTCTTCAGTCAGTCAGAAAGAGTTCCTTTTGTGGGTGAATGACTACAAGTGTTCGATCTGCGGGATAGAAATGCCACCAAGCTTTGTTGAGGAAAGGCAAGAGCATTTTGATTTTCATCTTGCTGAGAAGCTTCAGAAAGAGGAATCTGGGACTGACTTCAAAACTTGTGTTCTGAAGAAAAGGTATACTATATTTTCATTGAGTTTCCAACGTGCCTCTCTTCATATCCTTTCTTTTTGTCCTCTTGAGGTAGTTTGTTTTGTCTGATTGATTTGGCTTGAAACTCTGTCAGAAATGTCCCCAAGGATCACATTGCAAGCCAAAGAAAGCACAAAAAGCAGAAGCCGTCTCCAAAAGAAGGCAAACACATACCTATTGATGTGTTCTTTGTTAAGAGCAATCAGAACTTCTAGAATTGTATTTTATTTGTTATTTTCTTGTACAAATGCAAATCTGTACATATCCAGGTTTTTCATCTACTTGGTAAAATATCCAACAAGTTGTGTCTAATAAAATTTGTAAAGATGCATTTTGGGTTCGAATTTGGACTCCGATAAATAACAATAAAAGTTCCTTATGAACAATCTTGGAGATTTTTTTAGAGCTTTCCAAAGCCCAAACCCGTACCAAAACGGTCGCTTTTTCAATTGCAGGATGGTGGTGTTGCCACGTGTAACTAATCTCCGCATACATAACCATTACTGGCGTTTTTAATGTTTCTGAATCAGTTCACGGAGTTTTCTGTTGCCACAACCCCTTCAAAAAACATTTTTAAAGAAAACCCCATACAGAAAAAGAATACAAGAGGGAAATGGAGCTAGCATCAAAATCAATGATTTCAAATTCCAAATTCTCCATACTAAATCCAAGAATCCCAAGTAGTAGAACCCAGATTGCTTCTTCGGTAAAATTTCCCACTACCCTAATCAAGAAAAACACAGAGGCTAGCTCTGGAGCCACAATGCCAACCATGTCTGAGATATTGGCCTCATCAAGAGCCCAAAACCTTGACCTTCAGCTCCAAACTCTAGGACCCTTTTTCAGAATCACAGCCAAGAGCTTGGAGACACAGAAGGAGCTTGGCAAGGCTGAGGGACTGATAAGGTTCTGGCTTAGTGGGAAAATCCTTCACTTGGAGTCAATCAGATTACAGAGAGAGACACTGGGGATGGAGAAGTCAATCTTTGGCATTGGCTTGTTCATTGGAGCTGTTGCCATTCGATACGGCTACGATTGTGGTTGCAGAACAGCTGAGTTGCTTGCCATCAATGACTCTGACATTTTCCACCACAAGGTTCTTTCTTTGGTTTCCTTATCATGTTTCTTCTGGTTTTATGCTGTTATTGGATGCTATAGCACTTTTTTCAGCCTTTAATTTTAATATTCTGTACATCAATGGTGAAGCCTCTCATTTGCTTAAATTTCCAAGTATCCTTTATTTTGTGGATGAGATTGTTCTCTTCGAGATAAAGCTTGTTTTGAAGTGGATGATAAGTGTACTTTCTGCGAGCTATTTTGTTGGTGTTTGGGTTGAAGATATTTGATGAGTTGCATTAAGGTTAAATAGCATTGTCAGAAATAAGTTGTAGAATTTATATAAGAAATGCACTGGACTGGATTACTTGATTTGATGTTAAATCTGAACTGGTTGCTTATTTACTTCTCAGCTTGTCAGGTTCTATTCAAGAATCGGATTCAAGGCTGTGCATGAAGTAACTGGTTCGACGATTGGAGACTATGCCCACATGTTGGTCTGGGGAGGAATTGGGACCCGAATGGATGCCAGTGTTGAAGAACTACTGATCAAATGGTGCACCAGGTTCAAATCTGGAAAGTGATTCGACCACAATCGATTGTTTGAGTTATTTCTAATGCATGCAAATTGCTGAATGTGATGGCTGGAACTCTGTACTGAAATGGAAGTGCTGTCTGAGCAATAAACATCAGTTTTCTTGAGTTGGTGTATTGGTCTGAAGCAGAAGCACTGTTTTAGCCCCTTGGCTTCCATGTAGCCTAACTGGATGAGAATATTTTTGTGTTTCCCGGAGCTTCTCCTGCCGTTCAATTCTGGGCTTGAACTAGATAATCAGACAACAAAGAAAAACTGGGTGCTCTAAAGTACTTGTATGATGGCGCCAAGGCTCACATGAGGGGTACAATAAGTTCCAAGCCACTGGCGATGCAAAAGTAGTTTAGATTTGATTGTAAGTGACTTCCTCTTTATATAAGACTTTACAATTGTCGTTAAAATAATATGCAGATTGCTTTAAACACTATTAGTAGAGCTGTTGAATCAGCAACTTTCTTAACTTGACAAAATCATACAGATCTATTGGTCGTATTGCCCAACTGACAAATTATCAGTTGGGGACAAAGAAATTGCTCCAGTGGCATATGAAAATTGAGAAATCATTTAAAGAACAAGAGAAAGTGCCAACCCAATTTTAGGAATCTTGTCAAGTGCCCTGGTGTTGAATTCACCAGAGATAGCCAGGCATGACTTGGGTCTAACATTGTACTGTATAACAGTCTTAAACTCTCCATGATCGTCAAGTCTAGCTTTCACTACTGTTTGATGATCAACAGCATATGATCCTCCAACTGTCAAGGTGTTTCTCTTTGTTGACAGCTTTTGAGTGAACTCTACCACTGCTGCATGCTTCTTTTGTTTATTGAGATAAAGAACACATGATGCTGTTAGCAAGTCACCTTTGTTTGCCCTAAAAAATTTCACAACGATAGGATATCAGTGTCATACTTTTCCTTTAGCACGGTGACATAATGACTGTAATTCAAATCTGCACTTTGGCCTCTACAAAACTTGTTATATTTGTTAAAAAAATTAGTTAACTGAGCAACTATCATTATAGTTGTAGAGGTTCTCCCATGAAATGCTGCAGTTGTAACTTATAAGTATCGGAACTGTAATTTGAACTTATTATTGAATTTCTTTTTATTAATGTCATGTTACTTCAAAATGAAAAGACCTACAGAATTATTGAAGCATCAGAATTGAGACTCTTCATGTAAATGCCTGCACTGCACTTGGAGAAAGAGCTAGAAGCAGTTTTGTACTCTGTCTCCATACCAAGGGCAATGCTTGAACTCCCTACAGCTGCTGAAAATGTTATTGCAGGGGACTTGTTCAAAGCCACAGATGTGGACAGAGCAGCATATTCTTGGCGTATTCGAACCCGGAGCTGAAATCAAGATGGGTGAGTTGTTTTTTAGTTCAGAATAGTAATTATTGTTGTGCGGGATAAGATAGGGTTGCTAGTCTGTGTCTCTTCAAAAAACAATCTGTTCAAAGGTTTAGTGGCAAGTAGAAATATGTGTCCCGAGGAAATGAGCGATTTCTGTCACAGAAATTTTCTTTTTCCTGTCACAGATTTCCTAACTAGAGCACCAATTCTTGTAGTATTTCAAACCAAAAATGTCTCAAATAAAGGTTGGCAGAAGCTAGAAAGCTATTGTCCTCACAGTAGAAATTCTGAATTAGCAGTGACAATTTTCAATTTGTTTGAACTTTCTCACTAGTGATCAGCTGAGCCAGTACAAAAAGGTAATCATCTGAGCCATGATAAATTTTTAAGAGCTGTTTTCAGGTCAGAAGTAATCACAACATGATTGAATATATGTTCTTTTTCTTTCCAATATGCAATAATGAGACCAAGTACCTTGCTTGATTGGTAATCAGGCAAGCTGAATGAAGCGCTAGTATTCGTGCTTGACAGAAACTTCGCATTTAAAATGAGGGTTCCAGTAATCTGTCATAACAAGGGTAAATACAAAATGCTAATTACAAATGAAGATCACAAAAATTGAAACTTTTGAGGTAACAGTAAGTTGTATATAGCCACACCCACTTTTGAATCCGTATCGATTCGACAGTCAAAATTTGCATTCTTGTATGTGTATGCTCCTGCCACGGCTGCAGTTGAGCAACCTCCCTTCTTTGCCGCGGTTGAAGTAATTTTCTGAAAACAATCCAGAACGTACTCAGTTTCTGTTTAACTGCTTGAAGGGAGTGACATGATAAGAACATACCACTCCACCATCACTGTGGGTTGTGAAGCTAAAATTCTGGCTCCTGGAATATCCACTGGTAAGCAAGCCTACCAAAAGAGGTAAGTTTGCGACAAAACTCTAATTAATAGGCTTCTTGCAATGCAAGAAAAGAAAAATAGGACCATCTGTCTATTCAAAGTAAAGAAAACAAGAGAAAAAGAAACAGATTTTTCGGTGGGATATACACAGAAGATCCACAAATCTCAAAGAGGAAAGAGATCATACCCATTATTTTTCAGTAAGATTTCATACCCATTATTTTTCAGTAAGATTTTAACAGATTAACATACATGAAAGACTTAGAAAAGTAGAGAAGAATTAAAGCGAGAACCTTTAGCTTTCTGACCAAACTCAGAGAAACATGGAGGTCCCTTGCTTGTGGGTCTGCTCTTGTTTTTGTGGTTAGACTTGCTCATTGTTCTTGGCGGAGACACCAATTGACCTTAGGAGACGACCAGATCAAAAATAGAAGAGTTTCACTCACACGATTTTCCTGATCGTGTATAAATAAAAAAAATTATTGGTTGACTAGTTGGGGTTTTCCAGTTGTCTTGTCATAGCTCTGATTTTGTTCACTTGTACTTTTGGTTTTGTCTCAATTGAGCAGAGGCTTCCGCGAATAAGGACTTCTCTCATTGTGCAGTGCAGAGGTGGATGGCAGTTGGTTAGGGGCGTTGAACTTTGTCATCTGATTATCTACATATTCGTTTTAATTTTATCTAATGAATGCATTTTATTTTGCACATTTTAGATAACCAAACAACTTCAGGTGGGGATGATTTTCTCACAAGCATGATGTAAAATATAGATGTATTGATTGATCATTAAAATATATTTTGGAGTAGCCTAAGAGTATCTCTAACAAATATGTCAAATTTCCGCATGAACATGAAATGACAAACATTGAAGGTTAAAGCTGCTTTCATACTGCTCTAACCGAGTAGTCAAATCCTACATGATTTTGAAGGCGAGAAGAGATGTCAAAAATAACATATCAAAAAGCTTGATGCCAAATATTATTTTAATATTTTTTTGGTCATATGCATCATATGGACCCTATTTGCTTTTAAAAATATAATATTTGGCATTTTAGGTGGAGTTAATTTTTTTTCTAAAGTGTCAAATTGCCACATAAGCCATCAAATTTAAATTTAACATTTTGCATTTGACGTCCCCCTTGGAGATATTCCAAGAAAGATGTACAATTTTCTTACAATAAGGGGGTTATTAACATGGAAAAACCCTACCTCACTAAATCATTTAACCTACAAAGAATTTAAAAGGTTGATTAAAAAAAAACAATGATTGACTGATCGTCTCTAAGATAGTGTTTGATGTCAACTAGCTCTTGATATAGTGATATTTTTCTTTGAAATGTTAGAAGAGGACTCATGTTTGAATCCTCTCACTCGTTGATTTTAAAAGAAAAGAAAAGGCAAAATTAACCAAAGCCAAATTAAATCCATACTACAGTACAACAAATTGTGATCTTGAATTCAATCTCATTAGTTGAATTGCCTCGTATCTTTGGTGTGCTTCCAAGTGATTCAAGCTTATTTGTGTTGTGTGTATGAGTTTTTCCTTTTCCCTTACTAAACGTCGGCAAAAAAGCATAAAAAGAGGAAAGAAATCCATATCCATCCTAACAGAAAAGAAAAAAGGATTAAAAGAAAAGTTTGACGTGGCACGAATCCGAGTATTTAATTGTGATCAAATTTCAGGCCTTGATCCTGCGGTCAAAATCGCATCTCTCACGCAAAATACAAACACCCGCAACTGATACGAAGCAACCCTAAGCTACACTTCTCTGCCCACACTTCCAGGGACTCAGTCCTCTCTCTCTCTCTCTCTCTCTCTCTCTTCCCCAATTCCCACAACCCTATGTCGCGACGAGACAGTCGGGATTCCGACTCAAGACGACATCGTTCCAGATTTGACAGAGAACCCAGGTATCATTTGTCTCTGCATAACATGCGTGTGTGAATCAAATTTGGGACTTAAATGGGTTTAAGGATTTAATGCATTAAAACTGAGTTACTGCTCTGAAAGCTGTAGTGAATTTGAATTATGATGGTATTAACAAAACTATTTATTCTGCGTTATTTTCTCTTTCAGTTTTGGCTTTATCAATTTTATGAGATAAATGAAGAACATTGGAGATTTTCAATAATAAAAAAATTGAAAATATATGAATTTAGGCTTGTATTTTAATGTGTTTTGTTAGATTTTAGAAGGAAAAAGATGTGGCCTTAAACAAGGCAAATCTTTCATTTTTATGCGTATTTGATTAAAAGATTCTAGCTTTATGTGGTAAGGCTCTGCTTAAGTCTTCATTTAAGTTTGGGTTTGAAAGAGGTTATTTAAAAGTTGATTTGTCTCTGGAAAATGTCTGTAACATGGTTATAATGGGATAAGAATAGTTTTTTTTTTCTTTAAAGTAGAATGTCATTCTTAATGATTTTCATGGGTTTTCTTAGTCCTAAGAGGTCTAGGAGGGATGGAAAAGACGAAAAAGAGAGAGTCACCAGCAAAAGTAATTTGGAAAGTGCAAAGCAGTCTGACCAGGATCAAAAGCACCAGCCCAGGCTGCAAGATACATTGCCACTTGAATCCCCATTAGCAACTGACTCGAAGGTTGAAAATGGGCCATCCAGAAAAGAGTCTGATAAGAAGCCCAGTGGACATCTAGAAGGAACCAAACTCTCTTCTGATCCAACTGATGTACCCCGGTCACGATCTTATTTTCAGGTGGGGTATAGATTTATGAATCTTATCAACGTGTTTTGCTTTTATTGTATAATGATGAGCTAATCTCTAGCACGCATATCATCTTCAGACTCCTGTGTTTCTAGGATTCTGATTCTATGTCTAGATCATCTTGTAAAATACTTATTGCTGAAGATATTTTAGCTTAGTGATAATAATTGTACCGTCTTGCAAAATTGTAAGTTGCTGAATTGCAACTTGTGTTTATTTATGTTTTTTTGGCTGTGTCTAACTTCAGAGTCTATGACAGGGGAAACTGTTTTCTGTATTAAATGTGTCCTTAGTCTGTATGCTGTAGGAACTGCCATAGGAGCTCATCCACTACCTTCCAAAGTTGTGTGCATATTTTTCCTCAGTTTAGAGCAATTTAGGAGGCTTAAAGTTGTTCACTTACATTTCTGTGGGTTTATCGTTAGGCATTAGCAGGTTGTAGTAAGTGATTGTTATTACTCTACATTTTATTATGTGGTTTAAGGGATTAACCTTTACATCAAAAGTAAGATATTTCTTACTAGATGAGTTGGCAGAACTGGACAAGAAACTACTGTAACTTTATTACGTTTCCTTTCAATTGAATTGACATGAAACACTTTTGGAAGACATGCTTAAACCTTATTTCCACCATGACTTGGAAATTGCTCGTCTAATAACCTGAAATTCTGTTGAGTTTACTCATATGGTTGCTATCCAGTGTATGAAAACCTTTTTTCTGGGCTGATGTAGCGGGATTCTTGATCGGCCCTATTCCTTCAAGTTCATCCTTGTATATAACAATATTAGACTTGCCTGTGCATGTCTTATAGCAGCACGATGAGCGTGGTAATGCCAGGCAAGTTGATCGAAGCTCTCGTCGTGGTTCAGCTGCCGGTGAGATTTCTTATCTTAATTTTTTATTCAATTATTAATCACCATTCCTTTTCTCATGTTAAAATTTAAATATCATACTGAAGAAAAAAGAAAGGAAAAACCCTTTCTTTTCTAGGTTCATGCTATTTTTCATCATAATCTATGCAACGTATGTATTTTATTTTTCTTGGGCTGGAAAATATCATTTGCAGTATTAGTAGTGTAATTTACTTTTCCTGTTCTATTTTAGAACGTGGTTCGTGGAGGGATTCCAAGGATAGGCATGATGATAGGACAGTGAGCAAGACAACAACTAATGATTCACGGCCAAGAAATGAGAAACCCAAGGGGGATGAAAACAGGACCTGGCGCCATAATGGATTCTTTGAAATGGAGGCTAATCCACCACCGGAAAGGAAAAGACCTGCATTCAGGGAGAAGAAGATTCCACTGGAGTCTGAAAATGGTGACAAAACAACTGCAGAGACTGCAAAGTCAAACCATCCTGATGCAGAAGGAAGTAGAAAAAGGGAGGAAAGAGGCAACAACCCACGCCACTTGGATAGATCTGAGAAGCAATTTGCAGGAGAGAGGTTGCCTTACAGGGGAGAGGCACAGCGGGGTTCCTTTCCTTCAAGAGAAAGGTACACTGATGGTGCCGGCCTCAACTATAGAGGAAGAGATAGATTCAGTGGGAGACAAGGGTTTCAATCTAGTGGTGGTCGCGGTGAGAAATGGAAGCATGATTTATATCATGAGGCCAACAGGAGCCCAACACCGAAAAATGAAGAGGATCAAATTGCAAAGGTGGAAACACTTTTGGCTTCATAGGATTGAATTGGCATGCAGATGGCACTAGGTCTTGTATCTGCATAGCTGTGTCTTTTGTTTCTTTAGGTGTCCCTTTTGCATGTTTAACAAAATTAAGGTACTTTCAATATAAGGTCTGTTTTATTGCTTTATTTTGTTAATTGAACTTTCTTTTTGGGTAACCTGATGGGATTGCCAAAACATGTTAATGTTCTCATGAAATGGCGGAGTGTTCTGTTCCACCCTCTTTTCTTTTCATTTATTTATTTACTTTAGAAATAGAAGCTTTTTATTTTTATTATCAAGTGGCTTGGCTGTGGCTCCCTCTGACTCTATGGCATTGGCTATTCTCAAATAGCAATAGGAAGCCTCCCCGGGGTACATTACAAATGCCAAATGCGTGACAGGATATTTCAAATAAAACTAACATGATATGAATCATCTCTTTACATGTGGTATCAACCTAACCCCAATTTATGTCCAGAGAAAAACATTCAAATCAAAACCAGCAAATTCACAAGAATATTTAATTCATTATGTTGTTTAGTAATGGCAATGGCATCTTCTAGAGAATGCAATTTGGTTCATGCTTCTCTCGCCTTCCGCCTATAAGAACGTATGTTTTCAATGCAATAATTTTATTTTTGGCAGGGCAGAACTAGGTGTTTATTCAAACGGCAGCTAAAGTCATTAGCTTAAAATCTAACGATCCCATATCCGCTCGGTATTTTCTCAAACTCCATATGCATTGCTTTGTTTCGATCTGAGTATGAACCGTGTCAAAATAGATAGTATCAATTGCATATAACTAGCTGTAGGCAAATGGAGATTTTTGGCACATCAAGGCTGTGGAGGAGATTACTAACGCAGAATAAATAGCTTTGTTATTCTGGTTTTACCAAGATCAAGAAATATGAGCAATTCAAGTGAATAAAATTATT